TGTGTATGTTTGTGTGTCTATGAGTCTGGGTGTCTGTGGGTCTCTATGTATGTTTGTGTGTCTATGAGTCTGGGTGTCTGTGGGTCTCTATGTATGTTTGTGTGTCTATGAGTCTGGGTGTCTGTGGGTCTCTGTGTATGTTTGTGTGTCTATGAGTCTGGGTGTCTGTGGGTCTCTATGTATGTTTGTGTGTCTATGAGTCTGGGTGTCTGTGGGTCTCTGTGTATGTTTGTGTGTCTATGAGTCTGGGTGTCTGTGGGTCTCTGTGTGTGTTTGCGTGTCTGTGAGTCTGTGTGTCTGTGGGTCTCTGTGTATGTTTGTGTGTCTATGAGTGTGGGTGTCTGTGGGTCTCTGTGTATGTTTGTGTGTCTATGAGTCTGGGTGTCTGTGGGTCTCTGTGTATGTGTGTCTATGAGTCTGTGTGTCTGTGGGTCTCTGTCTATGTTTGTGTGTCTATGAGTCTGGGTGTCTGTGGGTCTCTATGGGTAAATGTGTGTCTATGAGTCTGGGTGTCTGTGGGTCTCTGTGTATGTTTGTGTGTCTATGAGTCTGGGTGTCTGTGGGTCTCTGTGTATGTTTGTGTGTCTATGAGTCTGGGTGTCTGTGGGTCTCTGTGTATGTGTGTGTGTCTATGAGTCTGGGTGTCTGTGGGTCTCTGTGTATGTTTGTGTGTCTATGAGTCTGGGTGTCTGTGGGTCTCTATGGGTAAATGTGTGTCTTTGAGTCTGGGTGTCTGTGGGTCTCTGTGTATGTTTGTGGGTCTATGAGTCTGGGTGTCTGTGGGTCTCTGTGTGTGTTTGCGTGTCTGTGAGTCTGTGTGTCTGTGGGTCTCTGTGTATGTTTGTGTGTCTATGAGTCTGGGTGTCTGTGGGTCTCTGTGTATGTGTGTGTGTCTATGAGTCTGTGTGTCTGTGGGTCTCTATGGGTCTATGTTTGTCTATGAGTCTGGGTGTCTGTGGGTCTCTGTGTATGTGTGTCTATGAGTCTGGGTGTCTGTGGGTCTCTGTGTGTGTTTGTGTGTCTATGAGTCTGGGTGTCTGTGGGTCTCTATATATGTTTGTGTGTCTATGAGTCTGGGTGTCTGTGGGTCTCTATGTATGTTTGTGTGTCTATGAGTCTGGGTGTCTGTGGGTCTCTGTGTATGTTTGTGTGTCTATGAGTCTGGGTGTCTGTGGATCTCTGTGTGTGTTTGCGTGTCTGTGAGTCTGTGTGTCTGTGGGTCTCTGTGTATGTTTGTGTGTCTATGAGTCTGGGTGTCTGTGGGTCTCTATGTATGTTTGTGTGTCTATGAGTCTGGGTGTCTGTGGGTCTCTGTGTATGTTTGTGTGTCTATGAGTCTGGGTGTCTGTGGATCTCTGTGTGTGTTTGCGTGTCTGTGAGTCTGTGTGTCTGTGGGTCTCTGTGTATGTTTGTGTGTCTATGAGTCTGGGTGTCTGTGGATCTCTGTGTGTGTTTGCGTGTCTGTGAGTCTGTGTGTCTGTGGGTCTCTGTGTATGTTTGTGTGTCTATGAGTCTGGGTGTCTGTGGGTCTCTGTGTTTGTGTGTCTATGAGTCTGGGTGTCTGTGGGTCTCTATGTATGTTTGTGTGTCTATGAGTCTGGGTGTCTGTGGGTCTCTGTGTATGTTTGTGTGTCTATGAGTCTGGGTGTCTGTGGGTCTCTGTGTATGTGTGTCTATGAGTCTGTGTGTCTGTGGGTCTCTGTGTATGTTTGTGTGTCTATGAGTCTGGGTGTCTGTGGGTCTCTGTGTATGTTTGTGTGTCTATGAGTCTGGGTGTCTGTGGGTCTCTGTGTATGTTTGTGTGTCTATGAGTCTGGGTGTCTGTGGGTCTCTGTGTATGTGTGTGTGTCTATGAGTCTGGGTGTCTGTGGGTCTCTGTGTATGTTTGTGTGTCTATGAGTCTGGGTGTCTGTGGGTCTCTATGGGTAAATGTGTGTCTTTGAGTCTGGGTGTCTGTGGGTCTCTGTGTATGTTTGTGGGTCTATGAGTCTGGGTGTCTGTGGGTCTCTGTGTGTGTTTGCGTGTCTGTGAGTCTGTGTGTCTGTGGGTCTCTGTGTATGTTTGTGTGTCTATGAGTCTGGGTGTCTGTGGGTCTCTGTGTATGTGTGTGTGTCTATGAGTCTGTGTGTCTGTGGGTCTCTATGGGTCTATGTTTGTCTATGAGTCTGGGTGTCTGTGGGTCTCTGTGTATGTGTGTCTATGAGTCTGGGTGTCTGTGGGTCTCTGTGTGTGTTTGTGTGTCTATGAGTCTGGGTGTCTGTGGGTCTCTATATATGTTTGTGTGTCTATGAGTCTGGGTGTCTGTGGGTCTCTATGTATGTTTGTGTGTCTATGAGTCTGGGTGTCTGTGGGTCTCTGTGTATGTTTGTGTGTCTATGAGTCTGGGTGTCTGTGGATCTCTGTGTGTGTTTGCGTGTCTGTGAGTCTGTGTGTCTGTGGGTCTCTGTGTATGTTTGTGTGTCTATGAGTCTGGGTGTCTGTGGGTCTCTGTGTATGTTTGTGTGTCTATGAGTCTGGGTGTCTGTGGGTCTCTGTGTATGTTTGTGTGTCTATGAGTCTGGGTGTCTGTGGATCTCTGTGTGTGTTTGCGTGTCTGTGAGTCTGTGTGTCTGTGGGTCTCTGTGTATGTTTGTGTGTCTATGAGTCTGGGTGTCTGTGGGTCTCTATGTATGTTTGTGTGTCTATGAGTCTGGGTGTCTGTGGGTCTCTGTGTATGTTTGTGTGTCTATGAGTCTGGGTGTCTGTGGGTCTCTGTGTATGTGTGTCTATGAGTCTGGGTGTCTGTGGGTCTCTGTGTATGTTTGTGTGTCTGTGAGTCTGGGTGTCTGTGGGTCTCTGTGTGTTTGTGTGTCTATGAGTCTGGGTGTCTGTGGGTCTCTGTGTATGTTTGTGCGTCTATGAGTCTGGGTGTCTGTGGGTCTCTGTGTATATTTGTGTGTCTATGAGTCTGTGTGTCTGTGGGTCTCTATGGGTCTATGTTTGTCTATGAGTCTGGGTGTCTGTGGGTCTCTGTGTATGTGTGTCTATGAGTCTGGGTGTCTGTGGGTCTCTGTGTGTGTTTGTGTGTCTATGAGTCTGGGTGTCTGTGGGTCTCTGTGTGTGTTTGTGTGTCTATGAGTCTGGGTGTCTGTGGGTCTCTGTGTGTGTTTGTGTGTCTGTGAGTCTGGGTGTCTGTGGGTCTCTGTGTATGTTTGTGTGTCTATGAGTCTGGGTGTCTGTGGGTCTCTGTGTATGTTTGTGTGTCTATGAGTCTGGGTGTCTGTGGGTCTCTATGGGTCTATGTGTGTCTATGAGTCTGGGTGTCTGTGGGTCTCTGTGTGTGTTTGCGTGTCTGTGAGTCTGTGTGTCTGTGGGTCTCTGTGTATGTTTGTGTGTCTATGAGTCTGGGTGTCTGTGGGTCTCTGTGTATGTTTGTGTGTCTGTGAATCTGGGTGTCTGTGGATCTCTGTGTGTGTTTGTGTGTCTATGAGTCTGGGTGTCTGTGGGTCTCTGTGTGTGTTTGCGTGTCTGTGAGTCTGTGTGTCTGTGGGTCTCTGTGTATGTTTGTGTGTCTATGAGTCTGGGTGTCTGTGGGTCTCTGTGTATGTTTGTGTGTCTATGAGTCTGGGTGTCTGTGGGTCTCTATGTATGTTTGTGTGTCTATGAGTCTGGGTGTCTGTGGGTCTCTGTGTGTGTTTGCGTGCCTGTGAGTCTGTGTGTCTGTGGGTCTCTGTGTATGTTTGTGTGTCTATGAGTCTGGGTGTCTGTGGATCTCTGTGTATGTTTGTGTGTCTATGAGTCTGGGTGTCTGTGGGTCTCTGTGTATGTTTTGTGTGTCTATGAGTCTGGGTGTCTGTGGGTCTCTATGTATGTTTGTCTATGAGTCTGGGTGTCTGTGGGTCTCTGTGTATGTTTGTGTGTCTATGAGTCTGGGTGTCTGTGGGTCTCTGTGTGTGTTTGTGTGTCTTTGAGTCTGGGTGTCTGTGGGTCTCTGTGTGTGTTTGTGTGTCTATGAGTCTGGGTGTCTGTGGGTCTCTGTGTATGTTTGTGTGTCTATGAGTCTGGGTGTCTGTGGGTCTCTGTGTATGTTTGTGTGTCTATGAGTCTGGGTGTCTGTGGGTCTCTGTGTATGTTTGTGTGTCTATGAGTCTGGCTGTCTGTGGGTCTCTGTGTGTGTTTGTGTGTCTATGAGTCTGGGTGTCTGTGGGTCTCTGTGTGTGTTTGTGTGTCTATGAGTCTGGGTGTCTGTGGGTCTCTGTGTATGTGTGTCTATGAGTCTGGGTGTCTGTGGGTCTCTGTGTATGTGTGTCTGTGAGTCTGGGTGTCTGTGGGTCTCTGTGTATATTTGTGTGTCTATGAGTCTGGGTGTCTGTGGGTCTCTGTGTATGTTTGTGTGTCTATGAGTCTGGGCGTCTGTGGGTCTCTGTGTATGTTTGTGTGTCTATGAGTCTGGGTGTCTCTGGGTCTCTGTGTATGTTTGTGTGTCTATGAGTCTGGGTGTCTGTGGGTCTCTGTGTATGTTTGTGTGTCTATGAGTCTGGGTGTCTGTGGGTCTCTGTGTATGTTTGTGTGTCTATGAGTCTGGGTGTCTGTGGGTCTCTGTGTATGTGTGTGTGTCTATGAGTCTGGGTGTCTGTGGGTCTCTGTGTATGTGTGTGTGTCTATGAGTTTGTGTGTCTGTGGGTCTCTATGGGTCTATGTTTGTCTATGAGTCTGGGTGTCTGTGGGTCTCTGTGTGTGTTTGTGTGTCTATGAGTCTGTGTGTCTGTGGGTCTCTGTGTGTGTTTGTGTGTCTATGAGTCTGTGTGTCTGTGGGTCTCTGTGTATGTTTGTGTGTCTATGAGTATAGGTGTCTGTGGGTCTCTGTGTATGTGTGTCTTTGAGTCTGGGTGTCTGTGGGTCTCTGTGTATGTGTGTCTTTGAGTCTGGGTGTCTGTGGGTCTCTGTGTATGTTTGTGCGTCTATGAGTCTGGGTGTCCTCCTCCACCTCCTCCTCTTCCCTCCCCCCCCACCGCGGCAGCGGTTCCGCCGGCTTCCCGATGGCCTACTCGGTCATGCCCCGAGAGATCTTCAACTTCCAGGGCGGCAGGGTGACCATCACCGAGTGCATGGACGACCTGGGCATCGCCGCCGTCGTCTGGGAGAGCGTGAGTCGACCCGCGTCACGTGCCATGCCCGCGAAACCATCGGACAGCACACACAACCGCCGTCCGTCTGTGAAGTGCTTGTCGCGTGGGTTCCCGGAGGCATCGCATAAACCACGGGGCTCGATGCATATGCGCGTAGCCGATGCGGGCGTTTGGCATGGCCGCCTCTGATTGGTTGAGAGGAGGTTTGCGCCGCGTTGTGCAGTCCCATCGGTAGAGCACGCAGCCGCCGGTTCGTCCATGGCGTGGCCGGGCCTGATGGGTGTGGTCGTGGGCGTGGTGTGCGTGGGTTTGGGAGCATCGCATAGACTGGAAGAGGGGTGTAGGACGTCTAACCGCAGATCCGTGGTGCGGCTGACTCTGATGGCTGTGCTCGGTTGGGTAGCAGACGTTGTGCGTTCTGTAGACCCATCGGCAGCACACACACATAACCGCCGTTTGTCGATGGTGTGGCTGTCTCTGATGGTTGTGGCCGGGGTGGGGGGTCGTGGTGTTGCGTGAGTCTGGAGCATTTGTTTGGTCCATCGGGCGGCAGATGGCGTATATCCGCTGTAGGTCTGTGGCGTGGTTGTCTCCGATGGTTGGTGGGGCTGGCGTCTGATCACTGATGTCTGTGACCGGGCGTGTGCGTGTGGGTCGGATGTGTAACTGCTGTGGATCTTTGGTGTGGCTGTTTATGATGGTCGCGGTTGGGTGTGTGTGTGTGAGAGGATATCTGGTGCCTTTTGTAGGCCCATCGGTAGCCGGGTTCTGATGGCTGTGGCTGGGGGTCGTTGTGTGCGTTGGTCTTTATCATCGTTAAGACTAGAAGGTAGGGGGTAGGGCAAGCCAACTATTTGTAGGTTTGTGCTGTTGCTACCTCTGCAGGTTGCGGTTGAGTGTGAGAGGAGACCTGGTGCGTTCTGCAGACCCATCGGGAGAACACGCAACTGCTATTCGGGCAAATCGCCCGATCGATGCTGGATGTAATTACCAGCGAAACGTCGTACTCAGATTGTAAATGTCGTGGATTCACCCTTCAACACACCGGTGGGCTGAAGTGGTGAACTATTTGGCGTTTCGTTTACGTGGCAAATCCCTTACTGATTGGCCGTGTCGAGTACTGGGGGAAGGTTTTCGACACATTGACACTTACGCGATCTAACTCAAAAACCTTTATTGTGAATAATATCGATTCGCGAAAGCCTACGTGTTAAACACAACTGCTGTTCATCTAAGGCGGGGCTGGTGTCTGATTTATGATGGCTGTGGCCGGGCCGCGTGTGTGAACGTATGAGTGCTATAAAAACCGGGAGCAAGCGAGGGCTTTACCATTCTGGCGAATTGCCCGATGATGCTGGATGTATTTACCAGCGAAACGTCGTACTCAAACTGTAAATGTGGATTAACTCTTCAACACACCGGTGGGCTGAAGTAGTGAATTATTTGTCTTTTGTCAACGTGACACTTTTTTTTTGCTGATTGGCCGTGTCGGGTGGTGGAGGGTTACGACACATTTATAAATAAACGCGATCTAACCCAAAAACCTTTATTATGAATAATATTAGTCGCGAAAGCCTATGTGTTAAACTGTATGAGTGCTGTTGTAGATTTTTGGTGTGGCTTTCTCCGATGGTTGGGGGGGGGGGGGGGGTGGGGGGGGGGGGGCTTGGTGTCTGATCTCCGGTGTGTCTGGCAAGACGTTTGCATGGGTCAGGAGCGTGTCATAGTCCAAAAGGCGGTAGAGGACGTACAACTGTTGCAGGTCTGTGGTGTGGCTGAATCTGCTGGTCGCCGCTGATTGAGGGATGCGGTGCGTCCTGTAGACCCATCGGTAGAACAGGCAACTGACGTTTGCCTATGGTGGAGGCTGGTGTCTGATCTCTTGACGGCTATGGCCGGGCGTGTGTGTGGGTCTGGGAGCATCGTTCCGTCTCGAAGGGGTGATACCATACAAATGCGGCTTTGTTGTGCCGTTGTGTCTGCGGCAGTTGGTGGGGCTGGCGTCTGATCTCCGATGGCCGTGTCCCCGGCGGGTGGGGTCGTGGTGTGTGCGTGCCTGTGCGTGATTGGTCCACCGCAGGGCGTCCGTCTGGCGCGCTTCCTGGAGGCCAATCAGCAGCGCTACCCAATGGCGGGGCGCTCCGTGCTGGAGCTGGGGGCGGGCACGGGGCTCGTGTCCATCGTGTGCAGCCTCCTGGGTACCGCTACGAGTGGGCCGGCACTCACCCTGCCGCTCACCCTCCCACTCCCACTCCCACTCCAGCTAAAACTAAACTACACTTAGACTTAAAATTTGATTTAAAGCTTTCGTGACTGCAGTAATTCATATTCTTAGTTTTTTCGGTAAAGTCACGTTGAAACGTGTATTCTTAGTTTTTTCGGTAAAGTCACGTTGAAACGTGACTTTACCGAAAAAACTAAGAATACACTTAGACTCTCAATTGTCTGCGCCCGTGACCGGCAGGACGGTGAGGGGATGATGACGATAAAAAAAAATCGCGTAAGAAGATATAACCATTTCCCGCGGATCTCCACGCCAAAGAGCCACTAATATGAGGTGTACATTACGCTTACGTTAAGAACATTGAGTTTATAATCTTAGTTTTTTCGGTAAAGTCACGTTGAAGAGAAACAACAAAATAATAAAATATATATAAAACAATAAAAAAATTCTCACGACGTTTCGACCATAACTCAAACGGTCATCTTCAGGTGTGTGTTGGTTCGCATAAATTTATTTTTAAACGGCGCATTTATTTATTAAAACTAAGAATATGAATTACTGCAGTCACGAAAGCTTTAAATCAAAACATTGAGTTTATTCGTGAACTGCTACTCTTTCGGTTTCGAACTAATACTTAACAGTCAGCCGATCGATGGCGCGGCGAAATAAGTTCAACGTAAGTACAGCGAGAGAGAGAGAGAGAGAGGCGCAGACTCCCAATACCGTTAGAATCTCGATTACAATGATCAGCGCTCACCTCCCTCACCTCCCTCACTCCTCCCACTACACCACCCCCCCCCCCCCCTCCCACCACCACCGAAGGCGCCGACGTCACGGCGACGGACCTCAAGGAGGTGCTGGGCTCCCTCTCGACGAACATCGCCAACAACACGCGGAGCGGCGACGGACGCCCCCGGGTGCGCGAGCTCACCTGGGGCCTCGGCCTCTCGGCCTTCGACGGCACCGCCTACGACTACGTCGTGGCCAGCGACCTCGTCTACAGGGAGGCCTCGCTGGGGCCACTCGCCCTCACGCTGCGACACTTCCTGGAGGGGGCCCGCGGAGGTGGTGGAGGTGGAGGTGGAGCCGGTGGAGCCAGAGCCAGTGGAGCCGGTGGTGGAGCCGGTGGTGGAGCCAGTGGAGCCGGTGGAGCCAGAGCCGGTGGAGCCACGGCGTTCTTCGCGCTCAAGCTGCGCTTCGGCTTCTGCGGGGAGTTCGTGCGCCGCCTCCGCCGGACGTTCCGCGTCCGCACCCTCGCCGAGTGGCCCGAGGACGAGACGGTCATCCTCGAGCTGAGGGCTCGCGAGGGCGGGGAGGTGGAGGAGGAGGAGGTGGAGGAGGTGGAAGAGGAGGGGGTGGAGGAGGTGGAAGAGAAGGAGGTGGAGGAAGAGGAGGAGCCGGAGGTGGAGGTGGAGGAGGTGGAGCAGGAGGAGGTGGAGGTTGAGGAGGAGGTGGAGGAGGTGGAGGAGCCGGAGGTTGAGAAGGAGGAGGTGGAGCAGGAAGAGGAGGTGGAGGAGGTGGATTCTGGAGGAGGAGGAGGTGGAGGAGGAGGTCGTGGTGGTGGTGGTGGTGGTGGATGCGGCGGCGACGACGACGACGATGAAGACGACGACGATGCGGAAGCAGGAACCAACGCGGAAGAGCGAACGAGGAGGAGGACGAGGAGGAGGAGGAGGAGGAGGCAGGAGGGCCGAGGCCAAACGCCCGGCGGAGGCTGGGGCGGAGGAGTCCGCGGGGTGGGTGAGGGCCCCGGGCGCATCGGCGACGCGGAGACGCGGGGCGACGAGGCGGCGGTGGCCGTGGGGCGGGCAGGTGGGCGGGGAGAGTCCGTGGTGGTGGTGGCAGCGGAGGCGGTGGAGGCGGTGGAGGCGGTGGAAGCAGTGGTGGTGGTGGCGGCAGAGGCGGTGGTGGAGGCAGAGGTGGTGGCAGAGGAGGCGGTGGTGGCAGAGGAGGTGGTGGTGGTGGAGGCGGTGGAGGCAGAGGCGGTGGTGGTGGCGGCGGAGGCGGTGGTGGAGGCAGAGGCGGTGGTGGTGGTGGCGGCGGAGGCGGTGGTGGTGGAGGCAGAGGCGGTGGTGCTCCCGGGGGATCGGGACGAGGCGGCGGCGGAGACCCGCGCAGCCACCCGCGGTCGTGACGGCGTTGGCGAAGGTGGCGGTGACGAGGGTGATGGGAAATACGGTGGCGATGATGATGATGATGATGACGGCGATGATGATGACGACGGCGATGATGATGACGACGGCGATGATGATGACGACGGGGATGACGATGACGGGGATGACCGCGATGTTCACGTTCAGATCCCTAACCCATCCAAATGCTACTGGCTCTTCCCCTTACGATGCCCCTAGACTCAGTCCACGACAGGGGGGGTCAGTTTTCGCGTGAGGCCCCCGTGAGCATGAACGTTGTTTGGTCTTTAAACCCGCCCGCCCGCTCGCCGGCCTACAAGGCAGCGCAGTTAGCAAAGACTCCTGGCCCCTGGAAAAGCTGCTGGGTCTTGCCCCGTACGATGCCCCGAGGCTTGTAGATCTTAGTCCACGACAGGGGGGATCAGTTTTCGCGTGAGGCCCCCGTGAGCATGAACGTTGTTTGGTCTTTAAACCCGCCCGCCCGCCCGCCCGCCGGCCGACGACTCAGCACAGTCGGTAAGGTCACGTCACGTGGGTAAAAGAATGATGAAAAGTGTGGCCAATTCGTCAACTTGTTCAGCACTCAACTGGTTGTGCGTTGGATAGTATAACCCTCACCCCACTCCACCCACCCCCCACCCCTCAACCACAGCATTTACAATTCGAGGCACTGTGACATTACAACAACGACAACAACGACAACCAGCGGCATCAGGCAGACAGCCAGCCGGCCAGGGCCTACATCTTCATTCCGGGCGACCTCCTTCCACATCGTTTCGATCGCATTGGGCGGCCCGTTGCGAGCGCGGTTTTTAAGAGACCCCCCGCTCTTGTGCAGGGGCTGGAGGAGGAGGAGGAGGAGGAGGAGGAGGAGGAGGGGCGGGGGGGGGAACGGTTTTGTCGACCGCCTGTGCCGACAAAACCCCCGACCGACAAAAGCCGGGGTTTAGTGGAACGAGGGACAAAGGAGAGGTGGCATTTGACGAAGCTCCACGGCTGCTGGTCTCCCCCGAGGGAGCGGTGGTTACATTATGAGACCTCCCTCGCTAGTAGCAAGATGTAGCAGTAGGTTTTTACCCTTTTTATCTGGCACTAAAAAAACTGACAACCTTTATACAAGGGGATCGTGTTTGCAATAACCACAACACAAGCGGTCAAAAATGTAAACAAAAAGAAGCAACTCTGATAATAATAATATTATTGGCACCGTCCTTGAATTTGATTGGTCCACACCAGAGAGACGGCTTTTCTTAGAGCCCTTTAGTCTCTCCACTGGTGCTGGACCAGAAGATGCCAAAAGGGTTTGGACCAATCAATTTCAAGGACGGTGCCAATATTATTGTTATTATTATCAGAGTTGTCTCTTTTTGTTTACATTTTTGACCGCTTGCGTTGTGGTTATTGCAAACACGATGTCCCTTGTATAAAGGTTGTCAGTCTTTGTGCCAGTTAAAAGGGTAAAAACCTATTGCTAGAGCAGTGGTTCTTAAACCCTGGGGGGTTCACGCACGCATCCTCCCTGGAGGCTGACAGATGGGGCCCTTTCTATTGTTCTAAGATTTAAAGCATTTCGTCAGTGCAAGGATCCATACACTCGTTGGTTCTATTCGGTAAAGTCACCACGTAGGTAAAAAAAATAAAACAGCGAAAAATCACGAGACGTTTCGGCCACAACGCAAGCGGCCTTCATCAGGTGAAGTTGTTAAGCCCGCCGCCACACAGCGAATTAGCAAGAAGGCTTGTCACGTTGAACAAAAAAACGTGGCCAATCTGTGACCGGTACAGCACCGCCGGTGTGTGGTGGGGGGACTAAGCCCCACTCACGCGCGGTTACAATTCGACTATCCGTGACGTTTCGCCGGTGCATGGACAACCAAGCATCATCAGGAAATGTGTGACGTTGAAATCCACCACCACCACAACCACCACCCTAACACATCTGGCCCAACACCAGTGGAGAGACTAAAGGGGCTCTAAGAAAAGCCGTCTCTCTGGTGTGGACCAATCAAATTTCAAGGGCGGTGCCAGTATTATTATTGTTATTATTATCAGAGTTGTCTCTTTTTGTTTGCATTTTTGACCGCTTGCGTTGTGGTTATTGCAAACACGATCCCCTTGTATAAAGGTGTCAGTTTTTTGTGCCAGCTAAAAGGGCAAAAAGCCTATTACTAAAGTTAGTGAGGCCGTCACTTTTCGCCGGGAATTATAACAAAAGCCGGCATCATCAGGCTGACATTCAGATTACGAGACTAACCTCGCTTTACTAACAGGCTCTGTGTCCAATGGCGTGGCGGGTATTGACGACGCAAAGTTTTTATAATGTACGCGATAGAACCCAAGCCAACCCCCATTATGGATGATTTTGGTCGCGAAAGCCCCGCTAGGTGTTACAGCAGACGGGAAATACATATAGATAGGGAGATAGATCCTCTGTTGTCATTGTCACCGGTACAACGAAATTTAAAGTGCTCATCAGTCAGTGCATCATTCATCAATTTAATTAAAACAAGAAATAAAAATAAAGTAAAAGATAAATCAAAATTCTTTATATATAAAAACTACCCAAGTATACCCACATACCCACATAAAAGTACATTTGTATCATTGCACATCCTTATTTTACAGTCCAATTGTGCACAGTATTACTTAGTAATTAATTAGCAGTATTGAGTGTGGTAATTGCTGTAGGATAAAAGCTGCGTTTGAATCTGTTTGTCCTTGTTTTGACTGATCTGAATCGTCTGCCTGATGGCAACGGCTCAAGCAGAGAGTGTCCACGGATGAGAAGAGTCCTGCATAATGTTCTGCGCTTTTTCGATGCGACGGGAATTGCGTAGTTCTGCCAGTATGGTGGGGAGAGAGCGCCCGGCGATTCTTTTTTTTTGGGGGGGGGGGGCCGTGTTGATGATCCTCTGCAGCGCTTTCCTCTGAGCCACTGTGCAGCCGGTGCACCACAACGCAGATGCAGCATGTAAAGAATGCTCCCGATGGAAGCTCGGTGGAAGGACACCGGCGGTTTCTGCTTGATGTCATTCCTTCCCGAGTATTCTCAGGAGGAGTGGAGCCTCTGGTGGGCCTTGACGCTCCGGGTCGGGCCCTCCAGCCTCTCCGCACAGTCCCCCGTTGATGGTCAGCAGCGAAGAGTCTCCGCTTTAAATTTCGATTTGAAGCTTTCGTGACTGCAATGATTCATCTTCTTTGGTTCTTTCGGTAAAGTCACCACCACGTAGAATGAGAATAAAATAATAAATTGATAAAATAAAATAACACAACAATAATATTCTCACGACGTTTCGGCCACAACACAAGCATGCCTTCATCAGGTGAAGGGAGCGAGACTGTCTGGTAGTCCAGCGCTGTCCTACACAAGCGGCCTTCATCAGGTGAAGGGAGCGAGACTGTCTGGTAGGACAGCGCTGGACTACCAGACAGTCTCGCTCCCTTCACCTGATGAAGGCCGCTTGTGTTGTGGCCGAAACGTCGTGAGAATATTATTGTTGTGTTATTTTATTTTATCAATTTATTACTTTCATTCTCATTCTACGTGGTGACTTTACCGAAAGAACCAAAGAAGAAGTCTCCGCTTTCTTTCTCCTGTAAGTCGATTACGAGCTCCTCCTTGGTCTTTGCGGTGTTCAGGAGCAGGTCATTGCATCTGCACCATGCTGTCAGCCGCTCCACCTCGTCCCTTGTAGGCAAACTCATCCCCCACCCACCCACCCACCGGACCGTCTGCACTTTGCACCGTACTTACCAGTCCAATCTCGAATGCTCTGTATTGTCGGGGTGATGCACGTACTACAACCACTACAACTACTACTACTACGCGTTTCACATTTGAGGTTTCTTTGGGGGTTACAGTGAGGGAAAAAAAAAGTATTCGATCCCCTGCTGATTTTGTACGTTTGCCCACTGACAAAGAAATGATCAGTCTATAATTTTAATGGTTAGGTTTATTTGAACAGGGAGAGACGGAATAACAAACAACAAAATCCAGAAGAAACGCGTGTCAGAAATTTTATAAATTGATTTGCTTTATTATGAAGGAAATAAGTATTGGATCCCCTCTGCAAAACATGACTTAGTACTTGGTGGCAAAACCCTTGTTGGCAATCACAGAGGTCAGACGTTTCTTGTAGTTGGCCACCAGGTTTGCACACATCTCAGGAGGGATTTTGTCCCACTCCTCTTTGCAGATCTTCTCCAAGTCATTAAGGTTTCGAGGCTGACGTTTGGCAACACGAACCTTCAGCTCCCTCCACAGATTTTCTACGGGATTAAGGTCTGGAGACTCGCTAGGCCACTCCAGGACCTTAATGTGCTTCTTCTTGAGCCACTCCTTTGTTGCCGTGGCCGTGTGTTTTGGGTCATTGTCATGCTGGAATACCCATTCACGACCCATTTTCAATGCCCTGGCTGAGGGAAGGAGGTTCTCACCCAAGATTTAACGGTACATGGCCCCGTCCATCGTCCCTTTGATGCGGTGAAGTTGTCCTGTCCCCTTAGCAGAAAAATACCCCCAAAGCATAATGTTTCCACCTCCATGTTTGACGGTGGGGATGGTGTTCTTGGGGTCATAGGCAGCATTCCTCCTCCTCCAAACACGGCGAATTGAGTTGATGCCAAAGAGCTCCATTTTGGTCTCATCTGACCACAACACTTTCACCCAGTTGTCCTCTGAATCATTCAGATGTTCATTGGCAAACTTCAGACGGGCATGTATGTGTGCTTTCTTTAGCAGGGGGACCTTGCGGGCGCTGCAGGATTTCAGTCCTTTACGGCGAAGTGTGTTACCAATTGTTTTCTTGGTGACTATGGTCCCAGTTGCTTTGAGATCATTGACAAGATCCTCCCGTGTAGTTCTGGGCTGATTCCTCACCGTTCTCATGATCATTGCAACTCCACGAGGTGAGATCTTGCATGGAGCCCCAGGCCGAGGGAGATTGACAGTTATTTTGTGTTTCTTCCATTTGCGAATAATCGCACCAACTGTTGTCACCTTCTCACCAAGCTGCTTGGCAATGGTCTTGTAGCCCATTCCAGCATTGTGTAGGTCTACAATCATGTCCCTGACATCCTTGGAGAGCTCTTTGGTCTTGGCCATGGTGGAGAGTTTGGAGTATGATTGATTGATTGATTGCTTCTGTGGACAGGTGTCTTTTTTGTAGGTAACAAGCTGAGATTAGGAGCAACTTCTTTAAGAGTGTGCTCCTAATCTCAGCTCGTTACCTGTATAAAAGACGCCTGGGAGCCAGAAATCTTTCTGATTGAGAGGGGGTCAAATACTTATTTCCCTCATTAAAATGCAAATCAATTTATAACATTTTTGAGGTGCGTTTTTCTGGATTTTGTTGTTTGTTATTCTGTCTCACACTGTTCAAATAAATCTACCGTTAAAATTATAGACTGATCATTTCTTCGTCAGTGGGCAAACGTACAAAATCAGCACGGGATCGAATACTTTTTTTACAATAATTTTATTGTTTTATATTTTTATTATTTTATTGTTTCACCTCTACGCGGTGGTGACTTTACCGAAAGAACCAAGAATAATAATTTCATTGTTTTACAATAATTTTATTGTTTTATATTTGTATTATTTTATTGTTTCCCTTCTATGTGGTGACTTTACCGAAAGAACCAAGAATAATAATTTTATTGTTTTACAATAATTTTATTGCTTTATATTTTTATTATTTTATTGTTTCCCTTCTACGTGGCGGTGACTTTACCGAAAGAACCAAGAATAATAATTTTATTGTTTTACAACAATTTTATTGTTTTATATTTTTATTATTTTATTGTTTCCCTTCTACGTGGTGACTTTACCCAAAGAACCAAGAATAATAATTTTATTGCTTTATATTTTTATTATTTTATTGTTTCCCTATCTACGTGGCAGTGACTTTACCGAAAGAACCAAGAATAATAATTATATTGTTTTACAATAATTTTATTGTTTTATATTTTTATCATTTCATTGTTTCCCTTCTACGTGGCGGTGACTTTACCGAAAGAACCAAGAATAACAATTTTAGTGTTACATATTTTTATTATTTTATTGTTTCCCTTCTACGTGGTGGTGATTTTACTGAAAGAACCAAGAATAATAATTTTATTTTTTATATTTTTATTATTTTATTGTTTCCCTTCTACGTGGCGGTGACTTTACCCAAAGAACCAAGAATAATAATTTTATTGTTTTATATTTTTATCATTTCATTGTTTCCCTATCTACGCGCCGGTGACTTTACCCAAAGAACCAAGAATAATAATTTTATTGTTTTATATTTTTATCATTTCATTGTTTCCCCTATCTACGCGGCGGTGACTTTACCCAAAGAACCAAGAATAATAATTTTATTGTTTTATATTTTTATCATTTCATTGTTTCCCTATCTACGCGCCGGTGACTTTACCCAAAGAACCAAGAATAATAATTTTATTGTTTTATATTTTTATCATTTCATTGTTTCCCTATCTACGCGCCGGTGACTTTACCCAAAGAACCAAGAATAATAATTCTATTGTTTTATATTTTTATCATTTCATTGTTTCCCTATCTACGCGCCGGTGACTTTACCCAAAGAACCAAGAATAATAATTTTATTGTTTTACAATAATTTTATTGTTTTATATTTTTATCATTTCATTGTTTCCCTATCTACGCACCGGTGACTTTACCCAAAGAACCAAGACTATATGTCAACGCTGCGTCGTCAATCCCGCCACCGCCGCCGCCTCCCGGCACACGGCCAACCAGGAAGGTTTTCCGTCACGTCAACAAAACCTGCCAAGCGTGGGACTCGTGCGGTGAACGAGCGCCCACCGCTGGCCAAGCAGGGAGCACGGCCGGGGTTGGACACCCGGGGCACGTGCCGTTCAGCGCACGCACGGCGCGTGTGCGTGGCTGTCTTCACCGCCTGCACCGCCTCCGCCGCCTTCACCGCCTTCACCGCCTTCACCGTCTTCACCGCCTTCACCACCTTCACCGCCTTCACCACCTTCACCGCCTTCGCCGCCTTCACCGCCTTCACCGCCTTCACCACCTTCACCACCTTCACCGCCTTCACCGCCTTCACCGCCTTCACCGTCTTCACCGCCTTCACCGCCTTCACCACCTTCACCACCTTCACCACCTTCACCGCCTTCACCGCCTTCACCGCCTTCACCGTCTTCACCGCCTTCACCGCCTTCACCGCCTTCACCACCTTCACCGCCTTCACCGCCTTCACCGCCATCACCGCCTTCACCGCCTTCACCACCTTCGCCGCCTTCACCATCTTCGCCGCCTTCGCCGCCTTCACCACCTTCGCCGCCTTCACCACCTTCACCACCTTCACCGTCTTCACCACCTTCACCACCTTCACCGCCTTCACCGCCTTCACCACCTTCACCGCCTTCACCGCCTTCACCGCCATCACCGCCTTCACCGCCTTCACCGCCTTCACCGCCTTCACCACCTTCGCCGCCTTCGCTGCCTTCACCACCTTCACCGCCTTCACCGCCTTCACCGCCTTCACCACCTTCACCGCCTTCACCGCCTTCACCGCCTTCACCGCCTTCACCACCTTCACCGCCTTCACCGCCTTCACCGCCATCACCGCCTTCACCGTCTTCACCGCCTTCGCCACCTTCACCACCATCACCGCCTTCACCGCCTTCACCACCTTCGCCGCCTTCACCGCCTTCACCACCTTCACCGCCTTCACCGCCTTCGCCGCCTTCACCACCTTCACCGCCTTCACCGCCTTCACCGCCTTCACCGCCATCACCGCCTTCACCGCCTTCACCGCCTTCACCGCCTTCACCGCCTTCACCGCCTCCTTCACCACCTTCACCTCCTTCACCGCCTTCGCCGCCTTCGCCGCCTTCGCCGCCTTCACCACCTTCACCGCCTTCACCGCCTTCGCCGCCTTCGCCGCCTTCACCGCCTTCACCGCCTTCACCACCGCTGCCTTCACCGCCTTCACCGCCTTCACCGCCTTCACCGCCTTCACCGCCTTCACCACCTTCACCGCCTTCACCGCCTTCACCGCCTTCGCCGCCTTCGCCGCCTTCACCGCCTTCACCGCCTTCACCACCTTCACCGCCTTCACCGCCTTCACCGCCTTCACCGCCTTCACCACCTTCACCGGCACCGCCTTCACCGCCTTCACCGCCTTCACCGCCTTCGCCGCCTTCGCCGCCTTCGCCGCCTTCACCGCCTTCACCGCCTTCACCGCCATCACCGCCATCACCGCCTTCACCGCCATCACCGCCTTCACCGCCATCACCGCCTTCACCGCCTTCACCGCCTTCACCGCCTTCGCCGCCTTCGCCGCCTTCGCCGCCTTCGCCGCCTTCACCACCTTCACCACCTTCACCACCTTCACCACCTTCACCGCCTTCACCGGCACCGCCTTCACCGCCTTCACCGCCTTCACCGCCTTCACCGCCTTCACCGCCTTCACCGCCTTCACCGCCTTCGCCGCCTTCACCGCCTTCACCGCCGCTGCCTCCTTCACCGCCTTCACCGCCTTCACCGCCTTCACCGCCTTCACCGCCTTCACCACCTTCACCGCCTTCACCACCTTCACCACCTTCACCGGCACCGCCTTCACCGCCTTCACCGCCTTCACCGCCTTCACCTCCTTCACCGCCGCTGCCTTCACCGCCTTCACCGCCTTCGCCGCCTTCGCCGCCTTCGCCGCCCCGTCATTGCGCCGCCTGGAAGATCGGTTAACCGTCTCGGTCGACGGCGTCGGTGCCGATGGGGTACAGGGCCGTGCCCGGGGCCCCCCCCGGGCCCCGGGCACGGCCCTGCAGAGAGGAGGCCGGGAGTTGGCCGTGTGTGACGTGCACGCCCGCAGGCACGTCACGTCACACACGTCACACGTCACACGTCACGTCACACGTCACGTCACACACGTCACGTCACACGTCACGTCACACACGTCACACGTCACACGTCACGTCACACGTCACGTCACACGTCACGTCACACACGTCACGTCACACGTCACGTCACACGTCACACGTCACACGTCAAGCCTCGGGGTGAAGGAGGAACTCGATACGAGTGCAGCGTCTACCGGCTGTGTGTTTGGGAGCACAACGCGGAGGGGGACAACCGGGGAGCGAGCCGGAGAAAAATTCCGCGCGGCCACGGGGAGAGAGAGAGAGGGAGAGAGAGAGAGAGAGAGACACGCAATAATATAGAACAGGAGTCAGAGTCGGGATTGAACCCGTGACCTCCTGCATACCAGATGAGTGAGTTAACATATCACCGCAACAGCTCTCCACACGCACGGCTTCCTCCGCCTTCATCCACAGCTCTCTCCTCCTCCCGTCCCTCCTTCCTTCATCCACCGCTCTCTCCTCCTTCATCCACAGCTCTCTCCTCCTTCATCCACAGCTCTCTCCTCCTCCCGTCCCTCCTTCCTTCATCCACCGCTCTCTCCTCCTTCATCCACAGCTTCCTCCTTCATCCACAGCTCTCTCCTCCTCCTGTTCCTACTTCCTTCATCCACAGCTCTCTCCTCCTCCTTCATCCACAGCTCTCTCCTCCTTCATCCACAGCTCTCTCCTCCTTCATCCACAGCTCTCTCCTCCTTCATCCACAGCTCTCTCTTCCTTCATCCACAGCTCCTCCCTTCATCCACAGCTCTCTCTTCCTTCATCCACAGCTCCCTCCTTCATCCACAGCTCTCTCCTCCTTCATCCACAGCTTCCTCCTCCTCCTGTTCCTACTTCCTTCATTCACAGCTCTCTCCTCCTTCATCCACAGCTCTCTCCTCCTTCATCCACAGCTCCCTCCTTCATCGACAGCTCTCTCCTTCCTTCATCCACAGCACTCTCCTCCTTCATCCACAGCTCTCTCCTCCTCCCGTCCCTCCTTCATTCATCCACAGCTCCCTCCTCCTTCATCCACAGCTCTTTCCTCTCCTTCATCGACAGCTCTCTCCTTCATCCACAGCTCCTTCCTTCATCGACAGCTCTCTCCTTCATCCACAGCTCCTTCCTTCATCGACAGCTCTCTCCTTCATCCACAGCTCTCTCCTTCTTAATCCACAGCTCTCTCTCTTCCTTCATCCACAGCTCCCTCCTTCATCCACAGCTTCCAAATCGTTCATCCACAGCTCTCTCCTCCCTCATCCACAGCTCCCTCCTCCTTCGTCTACAGCTCTCTCCTCCTTCATCCACAGCTCTCTCCTCCTTCATCCACAGCTCTCTCCTCCTTTATCCACAGCTCCCTCCTTCATCCACAGCTCTCTCCTCCTTCATCAACAGCTCTCTCCTTCATCCACAGCTCCTTCCTTCATCGACAGCTCTCTCCTTCATCCACAGCTCTCTCCTCCTTCATCCACAGCTCTCTCCTCCTTCATCCACAGCTCCCTCCTTCATCCACAGCTCCCTCCTTCATCGACAGCTCTCTCCTTCCTTCATCCACAGCTCTCTCCTCCTTCATCCACAGCTCTCTCCTCCTCCTGTTCCTACTTCCTTCATCCACAGCTCTCTCCTCCTTCATCTACAGCTACCTCCTTCATCCACAGCTCTCTCGTCCTTCATCCAAAGCTCCCTCCTTCATCCACAGCTCTCTCCTCCTTCATCTACAGCTCTCCCCTCCTTCATCTACAGCTACCTCTTTCATCCACAGCTCTCTCCTCCTCCTGTTCCTACTTCCTTCATCCACAGCTCTCTCCTCCTTCATCTACAGCTACCTCCTTTATCCACAGCTCTCTCCTCCTCCCGTGCATCCTTCCTTCCATAATAAAACGCGTTGCTCGTCGGGAATATAACGTGAACGTTTATTCCGATCACAGATCACAGACGGTCCGTCCAACCTCTCTCAATAAAACAACCAAACACGGCCAACGGATTCCCCTTTTCGCTCCCGCACGTCTGCGTCTTCGTCGTCAACAACAACAACAACAGAATTACTTCGATCGAAAATAACAAAAATACAGCCACCTCTCCCCCTCTCTCTCGGTGTTCGTTTTTAACAACCACTCGTCCACTCCCCGGTTCCCTTGCTGCTTTGCCCGCTCCATCACCATCTCCCTCCCCTCCATGCCACACATCCGGCCTGCACTCCACCCCGGCCACCCCCCACCAGAACTGTGTCCCAATGTCTACCCAGCATCGTCCCTTTCACCTAGCCCCCGCTCAATTCCCGGCCATTACACTTCATCCACAGCTCTCTGCTCCTTCATCCACAGCTCCCTCCTTCATCCACAGCTCCCTCCTTCCTACACAACTCTCTCCTTCATCCACAACTCTCTCCTCCTTCATCCACAGCTCTCTGCTTCATCCACAGCTCTCTCCCTCCTTCATCCCCAACTCCTTCCTTTATCCACAGCTCCCTCCTTCCTTCACCCACAGCTCTCTCCCTCCTTCATCGCCAACTCCTTCCTTTATCCACAGCTCCCTCCTTCCTTCACCCACAGCTCTCTCCCTCCTTCATCGCCAACTCCTTCCTTTATCCACAGCTCCCTCCTTCCTTCACCCACAGCTCTCTCCCTCCTTCATCCCCAACTGCTTCCTTTATCCACAGCTCCCTCCTCCTCCACCGTGCCCCCTTATCCCCACGATCCCCTCCCACCATTTCTCCTCCCCTCCCTCCCCCCCCCCCAATCCTCCATCCCTGTCGCCTTCTTCCCGGCTACCCGCTGCTAGCGATGGCGTCAACGGATTATTCCCACCCACCCATCAACATAACCGCTAAACCCTCATCCTCATTCCAATGTGTCCATTCCTCCTCCACCTGTTCCACTTCCTCCACCTCCTCCTGCTCAACCTCCGGCTCCACCTCCTCCACCTCCTCCTACTCAACTTCCACCTGCTCCACCTCCTCCACCTCCTCCACCTCCTCCTCCTCCCCCTCCTCCTCCTACTCAACCTCCTCCTCCTCCTCCACCTCCTCCACCTCCTCCTCAACCTCCGGCTCCTCCTCCTCCACCTGCTCCACCTTCTCCTCTTCCTCCACCTCCTCCTCTTCCTCCACCTCCTTCTCTTCCACCTCCTCCTGCTCCACCTCCTCCTCTACCACCTTCTCCACCTCGTCCTCCTCCGCCTCCTCCTCCACCTCCCCCTCCACCTCCTCCTCCTCCTCCTCCACCTCCCCGCCCTCGCGAGCCCTCAGCTCGAGGATGACCGTCTCGTCCTCGGGCCACTCGGCGAGGGCGCGGACGCGGAACGTCCGGCGGAGTCGGCGCACGAACTCCTCGCAGAAGCCGAAGCGCAGCTTGAGCGCGAAGAACGCCGTGGCTCCTCTGGCTCCACCACCGGCTCCACTGGCTCTGGCTCCACCACCACCACCGGCTCCACCTCCACCACCTCCGCGGGCCCCCTCCAGGAAGTGTCGCAGCGTGAGGGCGAGTGGCCCCAGCGAGGCCTCCCTGTAGACGAGGTCGCTGGCCACGACGTAGTCGTAGGCGGTGCCGTCGAAGGCCGAGAGGCCGAGGCCCCAGGTGAGCTCGCGCACCCGGGGGCGTCCGTCGCCGCTCCGCGTGTTGTTGGCGATGTTCGTCGAGAGGGAGCCCAGCACCTCCTTGAGGTCCGTCGCCGTGACGTCGGCGCCTTCGGTGGTGGTGGGGGAGGGAGGGGGGTGGTGTAGTGGGGAGGGGGGTGGTGTAGTGGGGAGGGGCAACGAGATGGCGTCACCGTCAGCGTCGTAGTCGCTGACGTACCGGAGTAAACGGGTGGCGGTGAGTGACGTGGGTGGTGGTGAGTCACGTGGTTGGTAGTGAGTCACGTGGTTGGTGGTGAGTCACGTGGTTGGTGGTGGGTCACACTGTGTGGTTGGCAGTGAGTCACGTGGTTGGTGGTGAGTCACGTGGTTGGTGGTGAGTCACGTGGTTGGTGGTGAGTCACACTGTGTGGTTGGCAGTGAGTCACGTGGTTGGTGGTGAGTCACGTGGTTGGTGGTGAGTCACGTGGTTGGTGGTGAGTCACGTGGTTGGTGGTGAGTCACGTGGTTGGTAGTGGGTCACGTGGTTGGTAGTGAGTCACGTGGTTGGCGGTGAGTCACGTGGTTGGTGGTGAGTCACGTGGTTGGTAGTTAGTCACGTGGTTGGTAGTGAGTCACGTGGTTGGTGGTGAGTCACGTGGTTGGTAGTGAGTCACGTGGTTGGTGGTGAGTCACGTGGTTGGTGGTGAGTCACGTGGTTGGCGGTGAGTCACGTGGTTGGCGGTGAGTCACGTGGTTGGTGGTGGGTCACGTGGTTGGTGGTGAGTCACGTGGTTGGTAGTGAGTCACGTGGTTGGCGGTGAGTCACGTGGTTGGTGGTGAGTCACGTGGTTGGTGGTGAGTCACGTGGTTGGTAGTGAGTCACGTGGTTGGCGGTGAGTCACGTGGTTGGTAGTGAGTCACGTGGTTGGTGGTGAGTCACGTGGTTGGTGGTGAGTCACGTGGTTGGTAGTGAGTCACGTGGTTGGTAGTGAGTCACGTGGTTGGCAGTGAGTCACGTGGTTGGTGGTGAGTCACGTGGTTGGTGGTGAGTCACGTGGTTGGTGGTGAGTCACGTGGTTGGCGGTGAGTCACGTGGTTGGTGGTGAGTCACGTGGTTGGTGGTGAGTCACGTGGTTGGTAGTGAGTCACGTGGTTGGTGGTGAGTCACACTGTGTGGTTGGTGGTGAGTCACGTGGTTGGTAGTGAGTCACGTGGTTGGTAGTGATTCACGTGGTTGGTAGTGAGTCACGTGGTTGGTGGTGAGTCACGTGGTTGGTAGTGAGTCACGTGGTTGGTAGTAAGTCACGTGGTTGGTAGTGAGTCACGTGGTTGGCGGTGAGTCACGTGGTTGGTAGTGAGTCACGTGGTTGGTAGTGAGTCACGTGGTTGGTAGTGAGTCACGTGGTTGGTATTGAGTCACGTGGTTGGTATTGAGTCACACTGCGTGGTTGGTTGTGGTTCACACTGTATAAAAGATTGTGGTTCACACTTTATCGAAGGTTGTGGTTCACACTGTATATAAGGTTGTGGTTCACACTGTATCGAAGGTTGTGATTCACACTGTATCGAAGTTAGTGGCTCACACTCTATATAAAGTTGTGGCTCACACTGTATAGAAGTTAGTGGCTCACACTGTATCGGAGTTAGTGGCTCACACTGTATCGTAGTTAGTGGCTCACACTGTATATAAAGTTGTGGCTCACACTGTATCGAAGTTAGTGGCTCACACTGTATCGTAGTCAGTGGCTCACACTGTATCGAAGTTAGTGGCTCACACTGTATCGAAGTTAGTGGCTCACACTGTATCGGAGTTAGTGGCTCACACTGTATATAAGGTAGTGGATCACACTGTATCGTAGTCAGTGGCTCACACTGTATCGAAGTTAGTGGCTCACACTGTATCGAAGTTAGTGGCTCACACTGTATCGGAGTCAGTGGCTCACACTGTATCGAAGTTAGTGGCTCACACTGTATATAAGGTAGTGGCTCACACTGTATCGAAGTCAGTGGATCACACTGTATCGTAGTTAGTGGCTCACACTGTATCGAAGTTAGTGGCTCACTGTATATAAGGTTGTGGCTCACACTGTATCGAAGTTAGTGGCTCACACTGTATCGAAGTTAGTGGCTCACACTGTATATAAAGTTGTGGCTCACACTGTATCGAAGTTAGTGGCTCACACTGTATATAAGGTTGTGGTTCACACTGTATCGAAGTTAGTGGCTTACACTGTATCGGAGTCAGTGGCTCACACTGTATCGAAGTTAGTGGCTCACACTGTATATAAAGTTGTGGCTCACACTGTATCGAAGTTAGTGGCTCACACTGTATCGGAGTTAGCGGCTCACACTGTATCGTAGTCAGTGGCTCACACTGTATCGTAGTCAGCGGCTCACACTGTATCGTAGTTAGTGGCTCACACTGTATCGGAGTTAGTGGCTCACACTGTATCGTAGTCAGTGGCTCACACTGTATCGTAGTTAGTGGCTCACACTGTATCGTAGTCAGTGGCTCACACTGTATCGTAGTTAGTGGCTCACACTGTATATAAAGTTGTGGCTCACACTGTATCGAAGTTAGTGGCTCACACTGTATCGTAGTCAGTGGCTCACACTGTATCGAAGTTAGTGGCTCACACTGTATCGAAGTTAGTGGCTCACACTGTATCGGAGTTAGTGGCTCACACTGTATATAAGGTAGTGGATCACACTGTATCGTAGTCAGTGGCTCACACTGTATCGAAGTTAGTGGCTCACACTGTATCGAAGTTAGTGGCTCACACTGTATCGGAGTCAGTGGCTCACACTGTATCGAAGTTAGTGGCTCACACTGTATATAAGGTAGTGGCTCACACTGTATCGAAGTCAGTGGATCACACTGTATCGTAGTTAGTGGCTCACACTGTATCGAAGTTAGTGGCTCACTGTATATAAGGTTGTGGCTCACACTGTATCGAAGTTAGTGGCTCACACTGTATCGAAGTTAGTGGCTCACACTGTATATAAAGTTGTGGCTCACACTGTATCGAAGTTAGTGGCTCACACTGTATATAAGGTTGTGGTTCACACTGTATCGAAGTTAGTGGCTTACACTGTATCGGAGTCAGTGGCTCACACTGTATCGAAGTTAGTGGCTCACACTGTATATAAAGTTGTGGCTCACACTGTATCGAAGTTAGCGGCTCACACTGTATCGGAGTTAGTGGCTCACACTGTATCGTAGTCAGTGGCTCACACTGTATCGTAGTTAGTGGCTCACACTGTATCGAAGTTAGTGGCTCACACTGTATATAAAGTTGTGGCTCACACTGTATCGGAGTCAGTGGCTCACACTGTATATAAGGTAGTGGATCACACTGTATCGTAGTCAGTGGTTCACGCCGTGCAGTAGGTAGTGGTTCACACTGTATCGAAGTTAGTGGCTCACACTGTATCGGAGTCAGTGGCTCACACTGTATCGGAGTTAGTGGCTCACACTGTATCGAAGTTAGTGGCTCACACTGTACCGAAGTTAGTGGCTCACACTGTATCGGAGTCAGTGGCTCACACTGTATCGTAGTTAGTGGCTCACACTGTATCGGAGTCAGTGGCTCACACTGTATCGGAGTCAGTGGCTCACACTGTATCGGAGTCAGTGGTTCACGCCGTGCAGTAGGTAGTGGTTCACACTGTATCGAAGTTAGTGGCTCACACTGTATATAAAGTTGTGGCTCACACTGTATCGTAGTCAGTGGCTCACACTGTATATAAGGTAGTGGATCACACTGTATCAAAGGTTGTGGTTCACACTGTATCGAAGTTAGTGATTCACGCCGTGCAGTAGGTAGTGGCTCACACTGTATCGTAGTCAGTGGCTCACACTGTATCGTAGTCAGTGGCTCACACTGTATCGAAGTTAGTGGCTCACACTGTATCGGAGTCAGTGGCTCACACTGTATCGTAGTCAGTGGCTCACACTGTATCGTAGTTAGTGGCTCACACTGTATCGTAGTCAGTGGCTCACACTGTATCGAAGTTAGTGGTTCACACTGTATCGAAGTTAGTGGCTCACACTGTATCGGAGTCAGTGGCTCACACTGTATCGTAGTCAGTGGCTCACACTGTATCGGAGTCAGTGGTTCACGCCGTGCAGTAGGTAGTGGTTCACGCTGTACGGGCAGTTGTGGTTCACGCTCTACGGGGGGTGGTGGTGGTGGTGGTGGGCTAGACCCCAGGGTGCACGTGCTGCGACTGAGCGGGCCGAGCGGGGCCGGTGACTGCCGGCCCGCTCGGAGCGGTACCCAGGAGGCTGCACACGATGGACACGAGCCCCGTGCCCGCCCCCAGCTCCAGCACGGAGCGCCCCGCCATTGGGTAGCGCTGCTGATTGGCCTCCAGGAAGCGCGCCAGACGGACGCCCTGCGGTGCATGCACAGGCACAGGCACGCACACCAAGACCTCCTCTCTCCGATACTAGGGGTGCTTCGCAAACCCACGGGGGTGTTTTTCTTTTTGTCACCAGAGATTTGTTCCACGGGGCAATTCCGGATCCACCGAGAAGATGGTTTCAAATTTAGCCACCAATTGGAAAGGTGTCCTAAGTCGAACTGAACGTTAAACTGATTTTCATTTGGTGCGGTATCATTTGTTCAGGTAGCGGTACCCCAGAGTTTCGCCGCGCAGGCTGGTGCACTGCCGGTGCCGATCACCGTGCTACACCCTTCATCACGATGAGTCCGCCAATCAAATGCTAAATTTTTTTACGCTAATTCCTTTGTCGAGGTACCTTAATCCCTCTCGCACAGCTTAAAGGCCGCGGTCTGAGCTTGGCTCCTGTTTCACTCCAGCGCTGTCCTCTGGACAGCCCGGTCCCTTCACCTGACGAAGGCCGCTTGCGTTGTGGCCGAAACGTCGTGATTTTTGTCGTTTTAGTTTGTTACCCACGCGGTGACTTTACCGAATAGAACCAAGGAGTGTGTGTGGATCCTTGCAGTCACGAAAGCTTCAAATCTAGAAGGGGGACGAGGCCATCGGAGATCAGATTCCGGGGTAACCCCCAGCCGTGGCAGGCGGCCACAACACAGATCAACAGTTGCACATTCTACCCCCTTTCTAGGCTGCACGATGCTGCAGGGCCCCGCCGTCGACCAACGGCATTTGCGTGCTCTGCCGATGGGTCTACAGAACGCACCGCATCGCTCAATCGGTGCTAAACCGTCAGAGGCTGCCCCACCAGAGGTCTACAGCAGCTGTATACGTCCCACCCCGTAGACTGTACGATGCTCCAGGCCCACGCACACACCAGACCCCTCCGGTCACAGCCGTCGGAGGTCAGACACCGACACGCCACCGACCATCAGAGCCAGCCACACTACGGGTCTACAGAATTTGGCTTACCCTACTCACTTCTAGACTGTACGCTGCTCCAGACCCATTCACACCAGGCACCCGGTCACAGCCATCAAGAGGTCAGACAGCAGTCCTACCATAGACAAAACCATCAGACGTAGCAACACCACAGGTCTACAGCATTTGGCTTTCCCTACTCTCCTCTCGACTATACGATGCTCCCAGACCCCACTCACACAACTTGCCGCAGCCATCAGACCCGGCCGTACCATAGGAGGAACGGCGGTTGTGTGCACTACCGATGGGACTGCAGGACGCACCACATCACCTCTCACTTAACCACAACCATAACCGCGGTTAGAGAGCACTTATGAATGCCACCACTTTCTAGTCTATACGATACTCCCAGTCCCCACTCACACCATGCCCCTGGTCACAGCCGTCAGAGGTCAGAGCCGGCCATACCGTAGGCGAACGGCAGTCGCGGGTGCTACCGATGGGTCTACAGAACGCACCGCATCGCTCAATCGGCGCTAACCCGTCAGAGGCTGCCACACCAGAGGTCTACAGCAGCTGTATACGTCCCACCCCCGTAGACTGTACGATGCTCCAGGCCCACGCACATCAGGCCCCCGGCCACAGCCATCAGAACCGGCCGTACCAATCACTCGGATATCCTGTTGATGCCGATGCTGCTAATGCTGATAGTGGCGGTGATTGTCGTGTTAGTGCTGGTGGTTGTAGTGGTTGTGGTGGTGGTTGTGCTGTTGGTGGTTGTGCTGTTGGTGGTTGTGCTAGTTGTGGTGGTGGTTGTGATGGTTGTGGTGGTAGTTGTGGTGGTGGTTTTGATGGTTGTGGTGGTAGTAGTGGTGGTGGTGGCTGTGGTGGTGATTGTGGTAGTTGTGGTGGTTAAATTTGTGGTGGTTGTGGTGGTGGTTGTGGTGTTGGTGGTGGTTGCGGTAGTTGTGCTGGTGGTTGTGGTGATGGTAGTGGCAGTTGTGGTGGTAGTTGTGGTAGTGGTTGTGATAGTGGTTGTGGTGACTGTAGTGGTGCTAGTTGTGGTGGTGATGGTTGTAGTGGTTGTGGTTATTGTTGTGGTGGTGGTGGTTGTGGTAGTTGTGGTGGTAGTGGTTGTGGTGATGGTTGCGGTAGTTGTGGTGGTAGTGGTTGTGATAGTGGTTGTGATAGTGGTTGTGGTGACTGTAGTGGTGCTAGTTGTGGTGGTGATGGTTGTAGTGGTTGTGGTTATTGTTGTGGTGGTGGTGGTGGTTGTGGTAGTTGTGGTGGTAGTGGTTGTGGTGATGGTTGCGGTAGTTGTGGTGGTAGTGGTTGTGATAGTGGTTGTGATAGTGGTTGTGGTGACTGTGGTGGTGTAAGTTGTGGTGGTGATGGTTGTAGTGGTTGTGGTTAGTGTTGTGGTGGTGGTGGGGTAGTTGTGGTGGTAGTGGTTGTGGTGATGGTTGTGGTAGTTGTGGTGGTAGTGGTTGTGGTAGTGTTTGTGATATTGGTGGTTGTGGTGACTGTGGTGGTGTGAGTTGTGGTGGTGATGGTTGTAGTGGTTGTGGTTATTGTTGTGGTGGTGGTGGCTGTGGGAGTTGTGGTGGTAGTGGTTGTGGTGATGGTTGCGGTAGTTGTGGTGGTAGTGGTTGTGATAGTGGTTGTGATAGTGGTTGTGGTGACTGTGGTGGTGTAAGTTGTGCTGGTGATGGTTGTATTGGTGGTGGTTATTGTTGTAGTGGTGGTGGCTGTGGTAGTTGTGGTGGTAGTGGTTGTGGTAGTGGTTGTGATAGTGGTTGTGGTGACTGTGGTGTTGTAAGTTGTGCTGGTGATGGTTGTAGTGGTTGTGCTTATTGTTGTGGTGGTGGTTGTGGTAGTTGTGGTGGTAGTGGTTGTGGTGATGTTTGTGGTAGTTGTGGTGGTAGTGGTTGTGGTAGTGGTTGTGATAGTGGTTGTGGTGACTGTAGTGGTGCTAGTTGTGCTGGTGATGGTTGTAGTGGTTGTGGTTATTGTTGTGGTGGTGGTGATGGTGGTAGTTGTTGTGATGGTTGTGGTAGTTGTGGTGGTAGTGTTTGTGATAGTGGTTGTGATAGTGGTTGTGGTGACTGTGGTGGTGTAAGTTGTGCTGGTGATGGTTGTAGTGGTGGTGGTGGTGGTGATGGTGGTGGTGGTAGTGGTTGTGGTGATGGTTGCGGTAGTTGTGGTGGTAGTGGTTGTGATAGTGGTTGTGGTGACTGTAGTGGTGGTGGTAGTTGTGGTGGTAGTGTTTGTGATAGTGGTTGTGATAGTGGTTGTGGTGACTGTAGTGGTGCTAGTTGTGCTGGTGATGGTTGTAGTGGTTGTGGTTATTGTTGTGGTGGTGGTGATGGTGGTAGTTGTTGTGATGGTTGTGGTAGTTGTGGTGGTAGTGTTTGTGATAGTGGTTGTGATAGTGGTTGTGGTGACTGTGGTGGTGTAAGTTGTGGTGGTGATGGTTGTAGTGGTGGTGGTTATTGTTGTTGTGGTGGTGGTAGTGGTTGTGGTGATGGTTGCGGTAGTTGTGGTGGTAGTGGTAGTGGTTGTGATAGTGGTTGTGGTGACTGTAGTGGTGCTAGTTGTGCTGTTGATGGTTGTAGTGGTGGTGGTTATTGTTGTGGTGGTGATGGTGGTAGTTGTGGTGATGGTTGTAGTGGTGGTGGTTATTGTTGTGGTGGTGGTGGTGGTGGTAGTTGTGGTGGTAGTGGTTGTGGTGACTGTGGTGGTGGTGAGGTTGGTGGTTGTGGTGGTGGTTGTGGTGGTGGTGGTTGTGGTGGTAGTTGTGGTGGTAGTGGTTGTGGTGACTGTGGTGGTGCTAGTTGTGCTGGTGATGGTTGTAGTGGTGGTGGTTATTGTTGTGGTGGTGGTGGTGGTCACTCACGCACTCACAAACCAAAGATGCCACTCCGATGTCGTCCATGCATTCGGTGATTGTCACACTTTGTCCGGAAAACTGAAACCTCTCCTTGGGGAACACCACGTCTCCAAGTATACACGCCCTGAGACACACAGAGACACACAGAGACACAGAGAGACACACAGAGACAGAGACACACAGAGACAGAGAGACACACAGAGAGAGATGGGACACACCACGTCTCCAAGTATACACGGCCTGAGACACACAGAGACACACAGAGACAGAGACACAGAGAGTCAGAGACACACAGAGACACAGAGAGACAGAGACAGAGAGACACAGAGAGACAGAGAGAGATGGGATACACCACGTCTCCAAGTATACACGTCCTGAGACACACAGAGACACAGAGAGACAGAGAGAGAGATGGGATACACCACGTCTCCAAGTATACACGCCCTGAGACACACAGAGACAGAGAGACACAGAGAGAGAGACACACAGAGACACACAGAGACAGAGAGACAGAGAGAGATGGGATACACCACGTCTCCAAGTATACACGCCCTGAGACACACAGAGGGACACAGAGACACACAGAGAGACACACAGAGACACACAGAGACAGAGAGACAGAGAGACACACAGAGACACACAGAGGGACACAGAGAGACAGAGAGAGACACACAGAGACAGAGACACACAGAGACACACAGAGACAGAGATACAGAGAGACAGAGACACACAGAGACACACAGACACACAGAGACAGAGACACACAGAGACAGAGACACACAGAGACACACAGAGGCACACAGAGACCGAGAGACACAGAGAGAGAGATGGGATACACCACGTCTCCAAGTAAACACGCCCTGAGACACACAGAGACACACAGAGACAGAGACACAGAGTGACAGAGACAGAGAGACAGAGAGAGATGGGATACACCACGTCTCCAAGTATACACGCCCTGAGACACACAGAGAGACAGAGACAGAGAGACACACAGAGACACACAGAGACAGAGATACACAGAGACACACAGAGACACAGAGACAGAGAGACTGAGATACACACAGAGACAGAGAGACAGAGAGAGAGATGGGATACACCACGTCTCCAAGTATACACGCCCTGAGACACACAGAGACACACACAGAGACACACAGAGACAGAGACACACAGAGACACACAGAGACAGAGAGACAGAGACACACAGAGACACACAGAGACAGAGAGAGAGACACACACACAGAGAGACAGATAGACAGAGAGAGACACAGATACACACAGAGACAGAGACACACAGAGACACAGATAGACAGAGACAGAGAGACACAGAGAGAGTCAGAAAGAGACAGAGAGAGACAGAGACAGAGACACACAGAGACACACAGAGACAGAGAGACAGAGAGAGACACAGAGAGAGAGATATGGGATACACCACGTCTCCAAGTATACACGCCCTGAGACACACTGAGACACACAGAGACAGAGAGACACACAGAGACACACAGAGACAGAGAGAGACGGAGAGACACACAGGGACACACAGAGACATACAGAGAGACGCAGAGACACACAGAGAGACAAAGAGACACACAGAGAGACACACAGAGAGACACAGAGCCACACAAAGACAGAGAGACAGAGAAAGACACACATAGACACACAGAGACAGAGAGAGACAGAGACGGAGAGACACACAGAGACACACAGAGACAGAGACACAGAGACAGAGAGACACACAGAGAGAGAGATGGGATACACCACGTCTCCAAGTATACACGCCCTGAGACACACAGAGACACACACAGACACACAGAGAGTCAGAGAGACACAGAGACACACAGAGGCACACAGAGACACACAGAGGGACACAGAGACACATAGAGACACAGAGACACAGAAAGAAAGAGAGAGAGACAGACAGAGTCACAGAGACAGATACGGAGAGACACACAGAGACAGAGACAGAGAGACACAGAGAGACACACAGAGACAGAGAGAGAGACACACAGAGACACACAGAGACAGAGAGAGAGACACACAGAGACAGAGAGAGACAGAGACGGAGAGACACACAGACACACACTGAGACACACAGAGACAGGGACAGAGAGACACAGAGAGTCAGAAAGAGACAGAGACACACAGAGACACACAGAGACACAGATAGACAGAGAGACACAGAGAGACACAGAGAGCCAGAAAGAGACACAGAGGAGACAGATAGAGACAGAGACACACAGAGACACACAGAGACACAGATAGACAGAGAGACACAGAGAGCCAGAAAGAGACAGAGACACAGAGACACAGATAGACAGAGAGACACAGAGACACACAGAGACACAGATAGGCAGAGAGACACAGAGACACACAGAGACACAGATAGACAGAGAGACACAGAGAGCCAGAAAGAGACACAGAGGAGACAGAGAGAGACAGAGACATACATAGACACAGATAGACAGAGAGACACAGAGAGACACAGAGAGCCAGAAAGAGACAGAGACACACAGAGACACACAGAGACACAGATAGACAGAGAGACACAGAGAGACAGAAAGAGACAGAGAGAGACAGAGACACACAGATACACAGATACACAGAGAGACACAGAGAGACAGAAAGAGACACAGAGAGACAGAGAGAGACAGATACACAGAGACACACAGATACACAGATAGACAGAGAGACACAGAGAGACACAGAGAGCCAGAAAGAGACACAGAGGAGACAGATAGAGACAGAGACACACAGAGACACACAGACACACAGATAGACAGAGAGAGACAGAGAGAGAAAGAGAGATGGGGTACACCAAGTCTCCCAGTATGTGTCTGTGTCTATGTGTGTCTGTGTCTATGTGTGTCTGTGTCTATGTGTGTGTGTCTATGTGTGTGCGTCTATGTGTGTGTGTCTATGTGTCTGTGTGTGTGTATGTGTGTGTCTGTGTGTGTGTCTGTGTGTGTCTGTCGGTGTGTGTGTCTGTGTGTGTGTCTGTGTGTGTGTGTCTGTGTGTGTGTCTATGTGTCTGTGTGTGTGTGTGTGTGTCTGTGTGTGTACCTGTGTGTGTGTGTCTGTCTGTGTGTCTGTGTGTGTGTCTGTGTGTGTCTGTCTGTCTGTGTGTGTGTGTCTGTGTGTGTCTGTGTGTGTGTCTGTGTGTGTGTGTACCTGTGAGTCATGTCCGTGGAGCGCCTGCACGTGGTGGTGGTGATGAAGATGGTGATGGTGGTGGTGATTGTGGTAGTGGTGATTGTGGTAGTGGTGATGATGATGATCGTTGTGGTGATAGTGGTGATGGAAGTGGTGCTGCTGATGATGATTATTGTGGTGGTGAAAATGGTGATAGTTATGGTGTTGATGGTAGCGGTGATGGTGGTGATGGTGGTGATAGTGGTGATGGTGGTGATAGTGATGATGATGGCCAGCCTTTGATTTGCACTGAAAACCACTACACCCTTTTATAGCGTCACTCCACACCCTCACTCATTCATTCACTCATTCCTGACACACCCTCACTCATTCACTCATTCATTCATTCCATTCCCTCACCGACTCCCTATACACAATGCTCATTCACTACACACCCTCACTCATTCACTCACTCATTCCCTACACACCCTCACTCATTCACTCACTCATTCCCTACACACCATCACTCATTCACTCACTCATTCCCTACACGCCCTCACTCATTCACTTACTCATTCCCTACACACCCTCACTCATTCACTCACTCATTCCCTGCCCACCCTCACTCATTCACTCACTCATTCCCTACACGCCCTCACTCATTCCCTACACACCCTCACTCATTCACTCACTCATTCCCTACACACCCTCACTCATTCACTCACTCATTCCCTACACACCCTACTCATTCCCTACACACCCTCACTCATTCACTCACTCATTCACTACACACCCTCACTCATTCACTCACTCATTCACTACAAACCCTCACTCATTCACTCACTCATTCCCTACACACCCTCACTCATTCACTCACTCATTCCCTACACACCCTCACTCATTCCCTACACACCCTCACTCATTCACTCACTCATTCCCTACACACCATCACTCATTCACTCACTCATTCCCTATACGCTCTCACTCATTCCCTACACACCCTCACTCATTTACTCACTCATTCCCTACACGCTCTCACTCATTCATTCACTCATTCCTTACACACCCTCACTCATTCACTCACTCATTCTTGACACACCCTCACTCATTCACTCACTCATTCCCTACACACCCTCACTCATTCACTCACTCATTCCCTACACGCCATCACTCATTCACTCACTCATTCCCTACACACCCTCACTCATTCATTCACTCATTCCCGACACACCGTCACTCGTTCACTCACTCATTCCCTACACACCCTCACTCATTCACTCACTCATTCCCTACACACCATCACTCATTCACTCATTCATTCCGTACACACCCTCACTCATTCACTCACTCATTCCCTACGCACCCTCACTCATTCACTCACTCATTCCCTACACGCCATCACTCACTCATTCCCTACACGCCATCACTCATTCACTCACTCATTCCCGACACACCCTCACTCATTCACTCACTCATTCTCTACACACCCTCACTCATTCACTCACTCATTCCCTACACGCCATCACTCATTCACTCACTCATTCCTGACACACCCTCACTCATTCGCTCACTCATTCCCTACACACCATCACTCATTCACTCACTCATTCCCTACACACCCTCACTCATTCACTCACTCATTCCCTACACACCCTCACTCATTCACTCACTCATTCCCTACACGCCATCACTCATTCCCTACACACCCTCACTCATTCACTCACTCATTCCCTACACACCCTCACTCATTCACTCACTCATTCCCTACACACCCTCACTCATTCACTCACTCATTCCCTACACACCCTCACTCATTCACTCACTCATTCCCTACACGCCCTCACTCATTCACTCACTCATTCTTGACACACCCTCACTCATTCACTCACTCATTCCCTACACACCCTCACTCATTCACTCGCTCATTCCCTACACGCCCTCACTCATTCACCCACTCATTCCCTACACGCCCTCACTCATTCACTCACTCATTCCCTACACACCATCACTCATTCACTCACTCATTCCCTACACACCCTCACTCATTCACTCACTCATTCCCTACACGTCCTCACTCATTCACTCACTCATTCTTGAAACACCCTCACTCATTCACTCACTCATTCCCTACACGTCCTCACTCATTCACTCACTCATTCCCTACACACCCTCACTCATTCACTCACTCATTCCCTACACACCCTCACTCATTCACTCACTCATTCTTGACACACCCTCACTCATTCACTCACTCATTCCCTACACGCCCTCACTCATTCACTCACTCATTCCCTACACGTCCTCACTCATTCACTCACTCATTCCCTACACATCCTCACTCATTCACTCACTCATTCCCTACACACCATCACTCATTCACTCACTCATTTCCTACACACCCTCACTCATTCACTCACTCATTCCTTACACACCCTCACTCATTCACTCACTCATTCCCTACACACCCTCA